AAAAATCCAGTTGCGTTGTAAACTGGGTCCCAATTCCCAAACTTCATAGTATATGTTAACTAGGGCAGGCCTAACTGACTGAATACCATCAGCCATGTACTGTGATCTAATCAACTTCTTGTGAAACCGACCCTACTATCACACCAAATAAAAAGCAGAACAAACCTACAGGGCTGATAGGTGACTTGTTACGTCATGAACCAGGCCAATGGGCCTTTACTAGAGACTGAAATAAACCAGATTACTGAGATAAGCTTTATTTTAACATTCTGAAATACTATACACAATCTATTTTTACAAAGTGGGAAGTACACTATTGTTGCACATCTGTCTTACTGTAGAAACTAGAGGCAATTATGGTTGTTTGAAAGTAGAGTTGTCCCCGCCCCACAGTTCACAGCAGTTACAAGCACAGCTCCCCATGAAAGTGCAAAAACTGTGAATGTCTCCAGAGTGGATTGAGACAACGCCACCACAGTCCCCAGAAGGTTGGGGGGAGGAGGGGGGGGGGAAGCTAGTTCCACATGCAATTTCACTTACCTGCAGATGACACCTCCTTTTCCCTGCCCTGCATGCAGCGAGCATCTGCTTCATCCAGGTTATGGAAGAAAGGTACCAAAGGGAATGGAAAATTGCAGCAAACAGGAAGAGAAGTAGGAGAAACTGGCTCTGTGGATGCCTGCACTATCATTTACTCTATGGATACAGTTCCTCCTTTTTTCTGTGTGCACATGTTTCTGTTCCTACCTTTACCTTCCTTCTTTTGCTTGGGTAAGAAAGACATTCGTGGCACACAGGAAAGGAAGATGACTTGGATCCTCAGGGTAAGTGAAGTTGTGAGCAGGGTCAGTTTCTAATCTTCCTGCCCCCTGTGAGTATCTATTTCCCCTGGACAAAGCAAGGGAGGTCCAAAACAAAACACAAAAGCGTAGCACTATTGCCTTCTGAACAGGTTCCTCCCCACCTCCTGAGGATGGTGCTGCCATGTGAATGGTGGGAGCATGCAGGAGCTTGTGGCACAAGCCAGCAAATAATCAAGACCACAAGTGTGAAACCAATAAAAGTGGATGGGTGACTGGAATTTCATGAGGGTAAATGTGTGGCTACCAGCAAAACAATGCATTTCTGAATCTGGTAAACACATCTGATGAATACATGAATGCACAGTTAATACCTAAAGATTGTTTTACTCATAAGTACATTGAGTTATCAATTAAAATCAGCTAGTTGCACCTAATTTATCCGAGAGATACAAAATAAATAATATTAATGTATTGTCGAAGGCTTTCATGGCTGGAATCACTCAGTTCTTGTGGGTTTTTTCGGGCTATATGGCCATGTTCTAGAGGCATTTCTCCTGACGTTTCGCCTGCATCTCTGAGGATGCTTGCCATAGATGCAGGCGAAACGTCAGGAGAAATGCCTCTAGAACATGGCCATATAGCCCAAAAAAACCCACAAGAACTAAATAATATTAGCCAAAATTCTATGGATCTGGGCCTACTATAACACAAGGCTGTTTTTGTGTGCTTTCTTGGCAATATTAGTTCAGAGTGAGGTTACCTTTCCTTTGAGGACAAAAGAATGTGACTTGAACAAGATCATACAGTGGGTTTCCATGGCTAAGCAGTGACTCTAACCTACACATGTCAAACGCAAGGTCTATGAGCAGAACTCAACCCTCCACATCATTTTATGCGGCCTGTAAGGCTTCCAGTGCCAGGGCAACAGAGTAACATTTATAAAGTCTTACAATTAAAAACAGCCCTTTGAAGGCAACCATAAGGCTGATGTGACCCTCAGTGAATATGAGACTGACACCCATGCTTCTCGTCTCCAGAATCATAGTCCTATGGCTCTCTCAATGCAGTACTAGACACACCTAATTTTATGTGGATTTCATTCTGTATTTATAGGTTTTCACATATGAATAGTTCCTCATTCACAAGTTCATCAGATATTCTCTTATCACAACACTACTTGTTATATCTCAATGATTAAAATAGTATTTCTACACATGAAACAAAGTTACAGCATGGCACCATAAAATAAATGGGGCTTATATGAAGTAAATATTCACAGTACATAGATCCCATTATTTTTGCTTAGGTTTTCCAGGCCACTTTTATATCGCTCCACATAAAAAGGGTAATTACCATGCTACTGAGCTATTCTGAATTATCATTCTTGTTTCAATGAAAGGCAAAGCCTGGTATTAGTCAGAGGCAGGAGTAAAAATCCCACTAAGCATGAGAACAGACAATGAGTTGTTTTAAAGTTTCCACTGCATGAATGTATGTATTCATTCTGACACAGACTATTCTGGCACTCAGTCAAACACCTGGGCCAAGCCCTTTCATAGAGCATGAGGTTTGAATTACCCATTGCTGTTTACAGATCCTTGTATTTTAGGTAACAGCAGAAAAGTTAATTCATCTACGGCTGAAGCAACATGGTTTGCACAGAACTATGAATTTCATCCATGAATACTCACGGAGTTGCCACATTGGTAAAACTCCCTTCTCTTGCCCATTCAGTTTCCATACCTTTTGTACTACATGTCCCATACACCAGATGGACAAATTTGTATGCTGGTGGTTGTTGATAATGGCTTTAAACTTGTGATATTGTACAGCCTAAGGAAAAAAAGTGTGGTGTTTGATAAGATAATAAACCAAATTTCAAAGAAGCTCCTCAGATCCTGGACCAGTGCCTGGCAGCTATGATGGACTGGATGAAGGCTAACAAGCTGAAACTTAATCCAGACCAGACAGAGGTCCTCATGGTCAGTTGTGAGGCCGATCGGGGTATTTGGTAGCAACCTGTGCTCAACAGGATTACACTCCCCCTGAGGACACAGGTCTGCAGTCTGGGGGTCCTCCTGGATTCAGCGCTGAAGCTTGATGCTCAGTGACCAGGAGGGCCTTCGCACAATTAAAGGTTGTGTGCCAGCTGCAACCATACCTCAAGAAGCCTGACTTGGTTACAGTGGTCCATACTTTGGTTACATCCAGATTCGATTACTGCAGTGCACCCTTTGTGGGGCTGCCTTTGAAGACAGCCCAGAAACTGCAACTGGTCCAAAGGTCGGCAGCCAGGCTTCTAACTGGATCTAATTATAGGGATTGCACAATACCCCTATTAAAGCAGCCCCATTGGTTCCCGATAAGTTTCCGGTCCCAATTCAAGGTGCAAGTTATGACTTATAAAGCTCTAAATGGTTCGGGTCCTGCCTATCTTTGAGACCGCATCTTCCCCTATGAACCGGCAGGGGCTCTAAGATCCACCAGAGATGTCCGCCTCTCGCTCCCATGACCTTCACAAGCATGGTTGGTGACAACAAGGGATTGGGCCTTCTCTGTGGTGGCCCCCCGACTTTGAAACTCCCTTCCCAGGTAGATTAGGCAAGCTTCCACACTGTCTTCCTTTTGGAGGGATTTGAAAAGCTGGATGTTCCAGTTAGCATTTGAGAATGGCTAGTCTGCGTTGGAGAGCCATTACACTTCCGCAGAAGCTGTACCTATTGATCTACTCACAACTGCGTGTTTTCGAACTGCTAGGTTAGCAGAAGCTGGGGCTAACAGTGGGAACTCACCCTGCTCCCTGGATTCAAACCGCGCAACCTTTCAGTCAACAAGTTATGCACAGCGGTTTAACCCACTGTACCACCAAGGGATCTGCTATATTTTACTATGATCTTATTTTAATTGTTTATGTTTTAATGGATTGTTTTGGTTTTATGTTTTGTGGGCATTTTGACCCACATATAAGCCACCCCAAGTCCATTCGGGGAGACAGTGGCAGGGTATAAGAATAAAGTTATTGTTATTCTTATTATTTCATCCAGGATGGAATGGGGCTGCAAAATGTCAAAGATTCCCCCCCCCCCCCCACTATTGCACAGTCAGTTTCCCAACTGGATATCTCATACACAAGGTGGGCTAATATGTATGCTGTTATTGATTGTGGTTGCTGCTGGCTTTAGCATGATTTTGCTAAATGGTACTGCGCTGCGTGAAATAAAAGTGTGGTGTCAAATACTGATGATAATAGTGATTATTATGATAAAGGTATTGCACCCAGGCATGAGTGGAGCTGCAACATGACTAAGAATCCCCCCTTCGCCCAGTCAGTTTCCCCAACTTGTGTACTGCATATCCCATACACCAGGTCAGCTAATTTGTATGATACTGATGGTTGTGGTTGCTGTTGTCTTTAGCTTGGTTTTGTTAAATGGTATTGTACAGCATGAAGTAAAAGTGTGGTGCCAAATATTGATGATAATAAAAGTATTTCACCCAGAATGGAATGGGACTGCCACATGGCTTAGATCCCACTCCACTTTTCTGCCCAGTCCATTTCTGCAACTTGTGTACTACATATCCTATATACCAGGTGGGCTAATTTGTATGCTGCTGGTGGTTGTGGTTGCTGCTGGCTTTATCTTGGTTTTGCTAAATGGTATTGCACAGCATAAAATAGTAGTGTGGTGCCAAATACTGATGATGATGATGACGATGAAGACACTGCACCAGGGAATGAGTGGGGTCACCACATGGCTAATATTTCTCCTTTTACCCAGTCAGTTTCCCCAACTTGTGTACTGCATAACCCATACATCAGGTGGGATAGTTTGTATGCTGCTGGTGGTTGTGGTTCAAAAGAGGCTCAAAATACACAGAGCAAGACCTTCCTTCCTTCCAGCCCCCTCCTCGCCCTCCCTCGTGCCAGATGGGTCCTACCCAGAATCCCACAAAACCGCTCCAAACCCAAACAGAGACAATGGCATCACGAAGGCCCCCAACAAGAGCCAGATAATAATGGACGTGACACGCTCCCCCCCTCCCCCTCCTCCTGCCGCCCTCCCCACAGCCTCAAGGATGAAGCACAGCTTGGGTTTATATCTACCACTGCTGCTGCTGCTGCCTTCTCCCCTCATCCCTCCCTCCCTCCCTCCCTGCCTGCCTGCCTGCCTCCCTGCCTGGCCGCCCTTGTTTTACCTCAGGGCTGCTGAGGCGGTGGGGACCCCTGCTTCCTCTTCCTCCTCCTCCTCGCTCTTCTTCATCGTCCTCGTCCTCCGGCCAGGGCAGAGAGGTGGCCGCCGCCTTGGGGGAGAGGCTCGGCGAAGAGGCAAACCCTCACACAATAAGAAACATCAGGAGCAACCCAGCAGCCTTTCTCCCTCGCTCGCTCTCTGACTGACTGACTGACTGGCTGGCTGGAGGAACCGGCCGCCAACGGCGCCAGCGAGCCCGCCTCGTGCAACACGCATGCGCAGTGTGAAATACTTGGGTCGGTGCTGTAGTCCTTTATTCTGCCGCACGATGCAGTCTTCAACAAGGGGAATTAGCTCAAATGGTAGAGCGCTCGCTTAGCATGCGAGAGGTAGCGGGATCGATGCCCGCATTCTCCAAGTTTTTTTTTTCTTCTGGTCTACCAATGTCTTTCGAAAACATTCTTTTAAAAGCTACTTGTAAATAAGCACACACACACACAAACCCCTTGTATTCAATTAATTTGGAAAATCAAAATTGCCTTGATGTAAATGCTTCGTTATTGTTGAGTGCTTTCAACCTAAAACGACCCTACCATAGGCATTTTTTTTTTAGAAAAAAAAATGTTCAGAAAATTGTTCCATTAAATGGCAATCAAAGTGGCCAGTTGCAACATTCACACTTGCCTCAAGCAGACAAGAGTTCTTTCTTCCACCCTGGACATTCCACAGATATATATACTCTCCCTCCCTCTCTCTGTACATATAGACTGTGTGTGTGTGCATTTTGAACCCCCTCCAGGGTGAGAAAGGTGGGATGGAAATGTCATAAATAAATAAATAAATAAATAAATCCCACTTGCCTAGTTTCCAACAGATCTCATAACCTCTGAGGATGTCTGCTATACTTACTTACTTAGGCCACCCCTCCTAGCTTGAGGATGATGGTCCTCCAGATGTGGTGTCTTAGCGGTGGGTCCGTAGGTGGCTGTGGAGCCCTATTCTTGACCTGCATTTTCTCCCGCAGTGAGAACATAGGTTTCCAGGTGGAAGGTGATCCCGGTCAGGGTTGGCTTGATGAGCCTTTCTCTTGGCACGTTTCTCCCTTTCTCCCTCCATTCGTCCCTCTTTAAATTTCACAACACTTCTGGTCATAACTGACCTCCAGCTGGAGCGTTCAAGAGCCAGGGCTTACCAGTTCTCGGTGTCTATGTCACCATTTTTAAGGCTGGCTTTATGCCCATCTTTCAATCACGTTTCCTGTCCACCAACATTCCGTTTTCCGTTCTCAAGTTCGGAGTAGAGCAACCACTTTGGGAGGCGGTGATCGGGCATTTGGACAATGTGGCCGGTCCAGTGGAGTTGATGGCGGAGGACCATGATGGTGGTGGTCTTTGCTCCTTCCAGTACACTGACATTTGTCCGCTTGTCTTCCCAAGAGATTTGCAGAATTTTTTGGAGGCAACACTGATGGAATCGTTCCAGGAGTTGCATGTGACGTCTGTAGACAGTTCATGTTTCGCAGGCATATAGCAGGGTTGGGAGGACAATCGCTTTATAAACAAGCACCCTGGATGTCCCAGTCCTCAAACATTCTCTGCTTCATTCGGAAAAATGGTGCACTCGCAGAGCTCAGGCAGTGTTGTATTTTCGTGTCAATGTTGACTTTTGTGGAGAGGTGACTGTCAAGTTAGCGAAAATTGTCAACTTTTTCTAATGTTACACCATTAAGCTGTATTTCTGGCATTGCAGACAGATTAGTTGGTGCCTGCCCGTTTTCTTGATATCCAATGAGAAACCAGAGCTTCTCTCATGTTCTGCAAAAGGTATTAAGAGTGGCTTGTAGGTCTTCTTCTGAATGTGCACAGACTACGTTGTCATCAGCGTATTGGAGTTCTATAACAGGTGTTGTTGAGGATGTCTGCCAAAGATGTGGGTGAAACATCAGAGGAGAATGCTTCAGGAATGTGGCCATACAGCCCGGAAAACTCACAGCAACCCTGTTCACAATACAGCAATGTGCTTTGTTGTGTGCCTTTCAAATTGTTTCCAACTTAATTGCCTGACTAATTTCAAACCAAGTAAAATGAATGAAGATATACATTTAGTTCCTTGGCTTCTCACATCATTCCATACAGATAAAACTATTACTTTAATAGATCTCATCCCATGAGATTAGGAATACCAAAGCTGTACTCTTCCAATAGTTCCCAAACTTTGCGTTTTGGACTTCAACTCCCAGAAATTACAGCCAGGTTACCAGCTGGTAGGAATTGTGGGAGCTGAAGTCCAAAACATCTGGAGGCCCAAAGGTTGGGAACCACTGTAATGGCTTGTGAGAAAACTCTCAAGATTATGTAAGAAGAGGCAGAGAAAGCATAAATTAAAACCCCATTGCTGTTGGGGGTGGGGTTTACAGTTATTCAATAGTCTCCAACCAGGCCATACTCACCGATTTCTTTGTTAATTGAAATCTTAAGCATGCATGAATGTATTTTTCAGGTCATTAGTTATACATAGAGCATCGCTTAATAGTTTGAAAGTTTAACATACCATATTTTCCCCAGCTTGATCTATAGTCTGACGTTTTGTATTACTTCCTCCAATAATTATTTAATATTAGCCATTCACAAGGTTTTTGGTCATGAGGCACTGGTGCACATAAGACAGGTGTGCCTACAGCGCTCTCTCCTGGGTGAATTAATAATATTTATCCAGGCATGAGATGTACTACATTGCAAAACAAAGGAAAAACACTGCAGCACTCCTTTACAGGAAAGCTTGTGTGTACTGCTTGAAAAAGTAAACTGCCAGGGCTCAGTGCTATGAACTCACGGGAGTTGAAGTTTTATAAGGTCTTTAACCTTCTCATGGGGGGCATGGCAGTGCTATAGGTTAAACCACTAAGCTGCAGAACTTGCTGACCAGAAGGTCGGCAGTTTGAATCCGCAGGACGAGGTGAGCTCCCATTGCTAGCCCAGCTTCTGCCAACCTAGCAGTTCAAAAACATGCAAATGTGAGTAGATCGGCGGGAAGGTAACAGCGCACCATGCAGTCATGGAGTTAGAAATAGAGATGAGCACCACTCCACAGAGTTGGGCACAACTAGTGTTAAGGTCAAGGGGAAACCTTTACCTTTACCTTAACCTTATCTGCTGATGCATCACTTAACTACAGCTCCCACCATTCCATAGCATTGAGCCAGGGCAATTAAAAGTGGTGCCAAATGTAGCTGCATCCATAGATGTACGAAACTGATTTTGCTTCTACATTTATCAATACAGTTCCCCCAATTCATGCAGAGCCTAAGTCACACAGAAGTCTCCTTCTTACAGGAGAGGCAGAAGCAAACTGATGCAGCCTGTCCTAGCCTGTGTTCTGCAATCTGCTTGGCCACATATATCCCAATTGTGATCTATGAAAAGTAGGAGGCTGTGGATTGAAAGGCAAGTCACCGGGCACAGATTACCTAGAAAACTTCCTGGTTGAATGAGTCCTTAGTCTGATATACTGTGGAGAGGGCACACATCATACCTGGAGACCTGACATGAGGAATCTATAGTCCTCCAAATATTTTAGATTTCATTTATCATCAGCACTAACTAACATGGCCAAAACAAGGGATTGTTGGAATCATCTGCAGATCCAAAACCGTTTTCCACCCAGTCTTGGACTATAAAACTGTGTGCAGAGTATATTTAACACACAGCACGGAGGGTCAATAATAAGCAGAATTCAGCTCATTGGGGGAGACGTGGTGACAGAATTTTTCCCTTCCCAGTGCAGACAGGCAAAAGCAAACTGTGCCAGCTTCTCCTAACTTATGTGTTATTACTCAGTAATAATTTTTGCCATCTTGATTACACTCCGATATTACTTGGCAACACATATCCCATTTTTAAATTTGGAAAACATTGGGGAATATGTTACATTAGCCTTTGAGCTCAGGGGCCCTTTCACATTATATAGTTACAGAGCTATTGTTTCACCTTAGCTGCCATGGTTCCATCCTATTGAACGGTGGGATTTGCATTTTAGGTAAAGCTACAGGTATTTCCCTGACAGTAAGTCCAGTCGTGTCTGACTCTGGGGGTTGGAGCTCATCTCCATTTCTAACCCGAAGAGCCGGTGTTCTTTGTAGACACTTCCAAGGTCATGTGGTCAGCATGACTGCATGAAAGACCATTATCTTCCTGCCAGAGTGGTACCTATTGATCTACTCATATTTGCATGTTTTTGAACATCTACGTTGGCAGAAGCTGGGGCTAACAGTGGGAGCTCACCCCGCTCCTGGGATTCAAACCGGTGACCTTTCAGTCAGCAAGTGGATGATGTTTTAACCTGACAAACTGTTTTAACGTACATTGATATTTATTTTTTAGGCATTTGATTGTATTTTGTGATGTTTTATTTTTTCGGCATCGAATTGTTGCCTGTTGGTAGCTTTCCTGAATCCCTCCTTGGAGGCCGAGAAAGGACAGGGTATAAATGTTCCAAACAAACAAATAAATAAGTTCAGATGCTCAGTGGTTTAATCCATTACGCCACTGGAAGCTCCCTTTAGGGAGATGTATTTTGAATTCCTGGCCAGAGAGTCCTCATAGTTTACCCAACTGCAAACCACTGGATTTGTTAGGATTCAGCCATGGTAGCCTCAGGAAAATGGCCCATGGGTCTCTTTCTTCCCCTGCTCATTGGAAAGTTTAATATCCAGGGACTTTCTATAGGTCTTATTAAGCTGTAGACAGATGTGATCTGTACACATCTGGTGGAAGAGGAAATTTAATTCACACCTATTCATTCTCCCTCACTCTGTCACACTCCAAATCCCTCAAACTCTGAACTAATTATATTTTTAGTAGGTGGGAGAGCAGCTGTTGTTCAAAATATTATGTCACAAAAATAAATTCCCTGCAAAGCCTCAGCCAATTTTTAAAGTGACAATTAAGTGTCTTGGAACAACCACTAACAGACTGAAGTTGTTCTGGAATGAGGCTCCTGTTTGTCTTCCACGCTTATCTATAGTAAATGTTTTCTAACCCACTGTAATAGAAAAAGCTGTGTTTGGCATGGTTCTTCACACTGCTTTTACTTCAAGCTGAAAAGACAAAGAGCAAGAGACAGGCATTCACACATGACATTTGTTCCTCTACACTAGGGCTTCTTAAACTTTTCCCACTCACTACTCCTTTCTGCCCAAGAAATGTTTACATGACCCCA